GATCAAGAATTAAAGTTAGAAGTTAACAAATAAGAATTCACGTACTAAAAGTAAAGTGAATGGTAATTAGATAACTTCTAATACTATCTCTAGATCTTTGGCTACGAATAAGGCTGTTAAAGACTTAAATAAATAATATACGAAATCGGCATTTTATTTTTCAATTTCATTAGTTTATTTATTAGTTCGCTTGTGTTAAAGCTTACCAGTAATATTTTGTTTCTTTTATTTTTCCGGCTGTTATATTTAACAAAGAAAGCATGGCGATCAGTTAATAAATGAACCCTAAGATTTTTACAAAAAAAAAAAAAAGAAAGAAAGAAAATGTTAGTAACATCCATCCAACATCCTACACAAAGAAAAACCCTATGTGTGTGGAGGGCACGATTTTGTTCACCCAATTTGAAACTCTTATGCGTTTTGACGAAAATTTCTGAAATTTTTCAGAGAGGTTTATGTATTGGGGACTGATGCTATTAAATTTTGATGGTTAAAAGACAAAGGGATGGGATATAGAGAGGGTTCATGTTTAGATTGGGGTAGGACTTAATAAAGATTTTTACTCGTTATAACATTTACAAATTTTTAAAAAATAAAATTTATTTCTAGCTTCAAAATTAAGCATTTTGCCATTTTATAATAATTCAAATATAAAAATATTTTTTAAAAATAAATTCTCATAACAGATGGCGCCAAACACAATTTTAACTTTATTGTCCGGAAAGTTACGCAACTCGTTTCTGGATTATTTTAAATTTTGTTTTCAGTTATTTAGATGAAACAAATATTTCTCAAAATTCGAATTCAGATAAAATATATAAATTATTTAAACAGGTTTATTTATTTATTTATTACTTCCAACTTTTCTACTCTGTGAATACTAAGAGAGCATTTTTTAATCCCGTTATGAGTTCGGCCAGGCAATAAAGCGAATAGATGGTAAGGGACGGGATTTGACTTATCCAAGAAAATTGCATCCCGAAAAATTCCTGTGGTTTTTTCGACATGCCAGAATTCGAACCCGGGTCCTCCAGAACGGTCGGCGTTACACGGTGATTAAGAAATTACATTATAATATATTAAAGTTTTTGTAATTAGATAATTAGAAGTATTAAAGCTAAATTTTTCGCAATTTCTTATGATTTTTCACTTAAATAATTCAGAAATTTAAAATGAAAAAAGTATTTTTTTTAAAGANTTCGAATTTGTTATTGCGTATTGGTTCGATTATAGAACGATTGTAAACGTTTCAGAAAATTGATCAAATTGAAAATAGTTCGTTTGATTTTCGGCAATTCTCTTCAGCGGTAGGTGTTATATAACAATTACTATGGTTATTGAAATATTGGATGTAAATGGGGTTTGCTTGCAAAACCTCCGCTGACGAAGTCGCGGGTAACAGCTAGTTTTACATAAGACTGTAATCTATTTTGATAATAAAAATTTTTTTAAATGATATAAGATTTATTATTGATTATTGGATTTATGAAATTCATATATATACATTTAATTTATAAATTTAAAACAAAATCTTTCATACTCAACGGAAATGCTTGAATGTCTTTCAATTAATCAAAACTTTAATGCGTTATTAAAACTTGTAATTATCGTGTTTACGTAAAGTTTTCAATAATTTTTCTATATATTAAACAATTTATTTTTCATCATTCATTAAGGCATTGTAATTAAGAAAATTAAGAAAACGAAAAGAGTATATTAATCATTCTCGTCTAGACAATTGATATTTCCGCAGGATATATTTAGTTAACAATACGAAGAAGTCACTTTTCCGTAGAAGAATAAAATAATTTAAGATTTATTTCCTAAATATATTACAGCAAGTACAAATTATGAGCTTATATTATAATTAATCTGGAATATAAACTAATACAAAGTCAACTTGTAATAGTGTAGAAAATAATTTTTTGAAATATGCTAAATTAACATTTTTAATGTCAAAAATTGCGTACAAAATTTGGAAATATTTTATTTCGTTTGATTCCATCAGTGATCGAGTGGACAAAACCATTGAACACTGGCAGTTGTTCTTTAGATAGCGCCTCACCAACGCGCTTGCACGTGGTTTTCCGTGTTTCTTCACGTGTATAACACCTAAATAGAAGCTAGTTCACATAGAAAATCCTGCCGAGAGGCATCTCTCCTTGGCATATCGCCCAAGTATTGCGTTGCCTTATCTCATCAATTCTATCTTATTCTTTTATTTCATTTAGAATGTTTACAAGAAAAAAAATTTAAACGAAAGTTTTGTGGTGTCAGATATAATAAGCAATCGATTAAGTTATATGAAAAGAAAAAAAGAATGGACATGGAAAACGCGATCAAGTTTTCAATTCAACATACAGTACAATGGATTTTTTATTGGTGAGAAAAATGTTAAACTAAAAAAGGATTATTGTCGTATCTATAGCCTATATGCCATTGAGTAGTGTATTTTGTCGTTAATGATTCAATACCTATGTCCTGGAAATTCTTCCTATATTTCATTTTTCGATTCTGAATTATCTGTATGTTATTTACAATTTATTCTCTAAAGTACACTTATTCCTCGGTCTTACGGACCTCTCTTTAATGGATATCGGAAGCAACGGACAAAATCTAGAGCTGCCGATTCAGTTTGAAAGTCCCGCCCTTTTCGAACGGAGTTAAAACGATCTCGTTAACTGTCTTCACTTTTCAGAAAGACCCTATCTTTCTGCAAAGTACTAAAGAATGGAAGTGATGGTGGCGGGTCATTTGTAAATTCAGTACAGAATCCATATATACCGTATCGTATAATTTTTTTCGTAAAAATAGCATAACTTCTATTTTATAAAATTTCATTTAACTCATAGTCTGTCTAAAACATAGTGTTTTTAAATTTCAAATAATTCAACCAACGTCTTTTAAAAAATTGTTCGTTTTCTTTTTCTAATAAAAAATTCGTTTTCTCTACTAAATTTATGTTTACAACACTGGGTACAGGTTTATTTTACGACTATTATTTAATGACGCTCGAGATTTAAAAATACATTTATAAATGAGTTCATTTTCATTAAAGAAAAATTTCTTTTACTTATTTTTTGAAACAAAACAAAAATTTATTAGTTTGAACTTTTTCATTTTTCCCTGAAGATAAAAATAATTCATTTGATTTCAAGTTATAGTTTTGTGACATATCAACATTTTTTTTTTTTCTTATGATGGATATAAATCTTTTTCTAGGAAAGCTTTTGAAATTAAAATTGTACTGAAGTACATTATTTGTAAGATTTTTTCAAAAGTTATGAATAACTTCAAAAGGCAAGTTGCTCATTTGCTAACTACCATTTATTAATTTATTTAGTAAATTTTATCTCATTAATTATATTTTTTATCCTTTAGACTTTAATTGGAATCGGTCGAAAAAATATATAAATCGGATAGTTAATCTATTATTTCATTGATGTAAATGTGTATCAATTCTTTAATCTTAGTAAAATAATAACTCCTACTATATATACCAGGAATGGGCAAGCAAGAGGTCAGTGGTAGCCGAAATGTAGGTTTTGCAAAATGCATGGGAGCCGCAGTTCTGTACTTTTTTATTCTGTACTGCAGTTCTGTACCGCGATTTTATTATATAAATATTATATAAAACAAATATTGAATTTTTTTAATAAACACATTTTCACAAAATTGTGAAAATAAAATTGTAAAAATAATAATAAGTAGAAATTAACACTTTCAGTAAGAGCCGCATATAACTCAAAAAGAGCCACATGCGGCTCTCAGAGCCGCATTTGCCCATGGTGGATATATACACATTTATAAAGGTTGCAACTTTTATGCTATACAGGATGTATCAAGAAGAAAGGTAAATACTTTGGGAGATGATTCCTTACAACAAGAGGAGTGAAATTCCACGAAAATCCGTATTGAGAAATGAACGATGTCTGAGAAAAATGCATAAACGTCAGTAGACGTACCGAGATCCTTTCTACAGAACACTTCGAGCTGTGTATGGTGCTAGATAAAGGATGGGTGCTACTGAGAAAAAGTAGACTCCCGTCATCAGTTTATTGTCCGGACAAGAAATGCTTCCGCAGTTATCAGAGATGATAGGGACGCACTTCGAAGAAGTACACACAGCAATTTACTACGGCATGCCCAAAAATGTATTGATGCTGGGGGTGGCCACTTCTAGAACTTCCTCTATAGTGAGTACTCATCTTGTCGTAGATCACATCAAATGCAACAGACTGTAATATGCAACTATAGCTGATACATTAACTGACATGTAAAATTTTGAAACATTCATACAGCTGTATTTTTGTTATTATCAATAAATTACCCTATATTCATACAGATTTTTTCTGAAATTATTCCTATGTATTCACTTCCCGAAATCCACCCGATGCGCCCTGTATAGTAAAGTTTAAAACACGAACATTTTTTTAATGTTTTAAAAATGAAGAAATATTTAAACGCACGAAACATAAAAGTAAAATCTGTTTTTAATTTAAAATTTTAAAAACAGTTAAATCATCAGTAAATATTATAAATCAGAAAAAATAAGGTACGGTATTTCAAACATAACATGATCTGAATGCATTCATTTAATAAAACTGTAATTTTAATTCTTTGAATTTTTTAAGCTAATAATATATATATTAATTATGAGAAACTAATAAAAACCATTTAAAATTAAAATTTTTATAAAATATAATAGTAACATTAAAACACAATTTAAACTCATTTATATATTATAAGAAACAGAATTGAATTAAAAAAAACAAATATTTAAATGGATTCGATCAAAAACGTTTCTAAAAATAAAACAGCTTTTATAATTTTGCCAATTCTTGTATATAAGCTTACATTCTATCTAACTATTTTATAAAATCACTCAACCTACGGGTGATTCAAAACTTTCCATGCATAAGCAAAGGATTTACCTTATTATACAACCACTTACACAAATCATAGAATATCATACATATTATACACACCTTAATACGCACCTTAAATGAACATATGAATGTTTTCCTCCGACTCATGTGCATATTAACATGTTTGACGTTATATGCACGACATGAACTGTACTGTACACACAATCATCAAAAGGATATCTCTTCTGGTGGGTCTAAATGTTAGTTACTAAATATTTTGTTCCTAAATTCTGTCTACGAATCAAAATAGTCTTTCCTTATTTACATAGTTTCAATATGTTGCGTTGTAAAAAATAAATCATTAAATTACATTTTGAAAATATTGTTATATAGTTTGTTTCTATATAGCAACAACATTAATATTACTTTTAAAATTAAATGCTAACTATTGATTTTTCAAGAAGAGAAAAATTATGATTTGTCAAGTTAATTAACCGTAATGTTTTAATTACTATTTTACAGGGTAATTACGGGTTTCATTTATACTTTATTTTGTATTAACACAATAAGATGATTTTATAAGTATAAACTGTATAAATCAAAGATTTTTTAAATTTATATACATGGCGTACGGAGTTTGTATGGGGTCGGGGATAGAACTGGCTCCTTTTAGTTTGTTTTTGAACAAATGAAATACGTAAAACGTTTATTTATTAATTAATAAAAAGTAGTCTTAAAGATTTTATTTTCTGTTAGTAAAAATAACGTTAATTTTATAGGGAATAAAAATCTCTACGGACTTCGGATTTTTCGGGCACGGGAAAACATATTCATCTCCCTCTTATCCCTGCTTATATATTCTATATATCTTTACTTGATTTAAAGATTTTTCGTGCTAATAATATAGGAATTTATTTTTCATTTAGTAAATAACTAGAAATCTCTTTGAAGTAAATACTATTACGAAACGACTGTCAAATATAAAAATTATAAATTAATCTACATTATATTAGTAAGACACTAGTAGATAAATAGTGTCCTTGAAAACTGTACAGGAAAAGGAAATTTAAATTACTTCTCCCTGTAATTAATTTCAAGTCAAATAATCATATTACCATTATACTAATTAATCTTCATAGAAAGAATATTATATTATTCATCCCTGTAATTAATTTCAAGTCAAATAATCATATTACCATTATACTAATTAATCTTCATAGAAAGAATATATTATTCATTTTCCCTTCCTGTTAAGTATAGGCCTATTATCATTACTTTATTTAAAGATTATTTTTCGATATTTGTAATAAAAATGATAAAATTAATTAGACTTCAATTAATTTTTGTATTTAAATTATGGATATTATAAATCTAAAAATAGTTGTTATTCATTGTTATATAAAATTGAAACAGTAATAATACATAATACGATTTAAATTTAAAATTAAAAAAATAGTTAAAAGAACCTTGAAAAGAGTAAATACATTGAATTCTTTTTTGTAAAAACATTAATATTTTTCGTATTTATTTACGTAATTGTGCTAAATATGAACTTTATAAAAAATTATACAAATATTAAAATATATTAAATTAAATACCGTATTCACGAGCGTACAACACTCACCCCATTTTCAGACAGCATTTTTTAGGGAAAAAGTAAATCTTATACGCTAGCAAATACAGTAATTCAATAGTAAAATACTGAATCAATAAGTACAAATATATTGTAAATATTAAAAAATAAACATATATTTTGTTGGTTCATTATTATATCAAATAATGAAGCTAAGCTAAAACATTATATTATATTCTCTATTTATTGTATTAATAAAGTCATATAACAGTTTGAGATTAAGTCGTTATTTCATAACTCTAATTAACGAATTGTTCAATAAAAATTTAATATTCTATTCTAAATATCAAAATTAAAAACGTGCCTTTATATATTAAAAGAAATATTTAATATTAAAGATATATATAAAAAGTTATCATTAATAAAAGAATTAAAGAAAAAATTAAACAACAAATTAAATATTAAATTCCGTAAATTATCCATTTGTTTCAAGTTTCTAATATAAGGCAAAGAATTCTAAAAATATTTTAATCCAAGTAAATTAACCTTAATTAGTTAACGAAGATTTAAAATTGATCAACATAGATTTCGATATGATTAGCGCAAATAATTGCATAATTAATTTAATCAGCGATTAAATATTCACTTCATATTAATTAAATAAGTAATTAAATAACAAATCGTATCGAAGGGTAATAATTTTTCCATGGATCATAAAACATTAAAACAATAAATTTTAATTTTAGTTGAAACTCGTGAGTAGGTCACTGATTGAAATATTCAAGCAATAAATGTGTATAATTGTAAATGCTTGATAGGAAATAAAAATTTTACTTTTAGATTTTTATAAGAAAGAATATGACATAAAAGATTTTATTTGAAAGGGGTAGCAGGTGTGTTGCACGAGTTGCTGTTTGTGTTGTTCTGTAAATTCCAAATAGAAACATGCCAGGCTATTTTATGCATTTACTCTTTAAACGAGGTACTATTGAATACATTTTTTCTTAAAACTTAGTTTGAAAATCTGATCAGAAGATAAATTACACTTTTTTCGGTCAAAAGGAATATATTTAGTTGAATAATTCATAAGACAATAAAATAAAATATTTAGTTTTATAATAACAAATCTCGGATTTAATATTAAAAAATGATTCATTTTTTAATAAAAATAGGATTAAATAAATTTAAAATCGATATTAAAACTTCTCAAAGAATATTTGTATAGATTTTTTTTATATATTAATAAAGGAAGACTACCTAAATCAATGCATTACTGAAAGATAGACACAACAATTATTGAATTGCTGAGCATTGTAGATTAAGCAATTTGCTTGACATTCTTGACATCTGCCGTAATTTATTATTGCAATTTTTCGCATGGATAAATTTTCTATTTTTCCGTTCCAGCCACACTTCAGTGATCATAACTCAAGCTATTTATTTAAATTGTATGTGACAAGATTAGTGAAGATATCGCAGGTACTGTACAAGAAATATAAATAAAAAATTCTTTAGAATAATAGTAATTAGATAACTTCTAATACTATCTCTAGATCTTTGGCTACGAATAAGGCTGTTAAAGACTTAAATAAATAATATACGAAATCGGCATTTTATTTTTCAATTTCATTAGTTTATTTATTAGTTCGCTTGTGTTAAAGCTTACCAGTAATATTTTGTTTCTTTTATTTTTCCGGCTGTTATATTTAACAAAGAAAGCATGGCGATCAGTTAATAAATGAACCCTAAGATTTTTACAAAAAAAAAAAAAAGAAAGAAAGAAAATGTTAGTAACATCCATCCAACATCCTACACAAAGAAAAACCCTATGTGTGTGGAGGGCACGATTTTGTTCACCCAATTTGAAACTCTTATGCGTTTTGACGAAAATTTCTGAAATTTTTCAGAGAGGTTTATGTATTGGGGACTGATGCTATTAAATTTTGATGGTTAAAAGACAAAGGGATGGGATATAGAGAGGGTTCATGTTTAGATTGGGGTAGGACTTAATAAAGATTTTTACTCGTTATAACATTNATATTAAATATTTCATAGAATTTCAGATTTATGGGATAAGAGCAACATTTTCTTTATATAGTTTTTAAATTTTACTTACTTTTACTTTACTTTACTTTTACTACTATTTACTTTGAAATAATTTAAACTTCACTCACTAAATAACATTGATTATATCAAGAAATATGAATAATTTATTGATAATTACTAGAAAATTTTACACCTCTTCTAATCCAAATTAGAATAAATCAGCTTAAGATTGCTAGAGAATATTTATCTCAATTTAATAATTACGAAAATCGGAATATAATGCTCATATTCTGCTTATTCATTCAATAAGAAAGGAATAAGAAAATCAAAGTTAAACAGACTTTTCAATTGTGCATGTTTTTACAAAACTAAAAAATTTTGTCATCGTATTTGTTTAAGATGTATATTTTATTGTCTTTATAATTTCATAGATATTTAAACTATAGTATAAAGATGTATAATTCATTTTTACTCTTAAATATATTTCATTATTGTTGTGTTTTTTAATGAATGAATAAATGTTTGAATCATATACTTTATTTAAAAATTAAATTTTGTTTCTTATAAATAAATATTTTGTATGTTTCTCTTTTTAATAACAACACAATTTACGTCCTAATATGTGTAAATATCAATATTTCTTCATAAACGCATCGTAATTTGATTTTATCAATGAATTTATAATGCCAAAATTTTATAATATATTTATGATTTCATGCTTAACCAATAAGTTAAATAATGATTTTAATATTAAAAAATTATTTTTATAATTCTTCTCAAAAAAGAAATTAATGTCTTATGATTATCAACCGGAATTTTATTATGAATACAAATAAAATGAACAGAGTCTACAGTACTAATGACGGGTTTTTAATAATTTTGTGTAGCAAGGGGTGTCATATTTCTAAATGCACCACTATTATTTTTCTACCTTCAAATAATAATATTGATTTGAATGAATGATATAATTTGATATCAAATTCAATATATCTATATTAAATTTAATACGAATTAACTTCTTCAAAATTTAGAAAATTTATTATATTTATAAACTATTAAACATGACTTAATGCTTTTAGAATTCATTTATAAATGTATTACTTTAAAAACCTCTAAAATATTTTAATCTGTAATATTGTAATTTTTTATGTTTGTATATTCATAATAAAATATAATCAAATTTCATATATTATCAATAAACTAATATATTTTTCGTGTATGAACAATAAATGTCTATATTTAGAAGTAAAATACTGATAAAGATATAAATGTAAATCCGTCAAGAAAGCGTAAAATTCCGTATCTGTAAAATTCTGTAAATCTTTCGAATGGGTAAAGAGTTTTAATTGGTCATATTGAGAAACTCAACACAAGAGTCAATGGAAAAATCATTTACATTTCATGAATAACTATTGTTTCGTTTAAATGTTTTAAAAAGTAAATGATATTACTAATAAAGCTTTAGATTAGATGAATGTTAATTACAAATGCTGGAAAAACTATTATTAACACACCTTCAAATAATGATATCGATTCGAATCAATGAACTAGTAGAGTAATACAGCAAGCAGTAGTGTCTACAACAATTGGTATCCCTGGAAAGATCGA